TGAGCTGAAAAGATGTACATTATTTTTCTTAAAAAACCACTGCTAATTGTGGTGCTTCAGCTCTAGAGCTGAAGTTTGCCAGTTACAAAACAAAAACTTCAGCTCTAGAGCTGAAGTTTGCCAGTTACAAAACAAAAACTTCAGCTCTAGAGTTGAAGTTCAGTTACAAAACAAAAACTTCAGCTCTAGAGCTGAAGTTCGCCAGTTACAAACAAAAACTTCAACTCTAGAGCTGAAGTTCGTCAGTTGCAAAAACAAAAACTTCAGCTCTAGAGCTGAAGTTTGCCAGTTACAAAAACAAAAACTTCAGTTCTAGAGCTGAAGTTCGCCAGTTAAAAAACAAAAACTTCAACTCTAGAGCTAAACTTCAGGCTCGGCTACTAGAATGCTGAAGTTTTGCGTGATTGCCTTTGCTACTTCAACCCCGTATGCTGAAGTTATGCGAAAAAGCGGGTACGCTTGCAATTATTTTTGCAAAGCAGGCACAAGTTAAAAAGTGACACAAAAAGCGGGTATAGATGCAAATGTCTTATATTAAAAGCACGAAGACCCTTAGCGAAATGTTGTTCGCCTTTTTTATCCTTTGAAAATAGAGTTCACAATAGATAAAAGTGTAATTACATTATTTATTTAATATATAGGAATAGCCATTTAAATATTTTCCTACTACTTAGGATTTTGAAATCACCTAACTTTGGCGTATTAAGTTCTTCCATATTTAATGTTCGTACTATAGCATATTTGTATATCTTGCTGGAGATTTTACCGAACAGTAGTGAGAATTATTGCTTCTTCCTATGTTTTTATTTTGTTAGTTAATTTAAGTATTTTATACTAAATTAGATTAGGAATGATTTTATTAGTTAAAAGATATAATACAACTATAAATAATAAATATATGAAATTTACATGCCGTCCTATGCATTTAAATTTCAGTCTCCTATTCCTAATATAAATATGCAGAAACAAATAAGAATTACACTTGAATCACAAAAGCACGACTATATAAAGAATTTCATTGCCATAAGTTTACCTTTGTCAACTGTCTTCATTAAGATATCATTCATGTATTTTTTTATGGCTAAATCTTTTCTTTCTCTTTTTTCTTTTCATTTATGGGATTGGTTTTCAGCTTGATGTTCTTCTGTAGGTTTGTGTGTTTGGTTTTCATTTACTTTTATTCTTGTTTGATTCTTTGGCAGCATTAGCATAAACGTGTTATTTTATGACCAGCATTGGACAATGATTTCCATGTTCAGGTTTTAAATTGTGTGTAGTCTATTGTAAAGTCTTAAAATCCCCTAACTTATAATTGGATTTATGCAACATAATTTTTATATAAAGCAACAGATATAATCTTACACCTTATGGGGAAAAAAAGAGAAGAAAAAGTAGTTAATTGTTTGTGAGTATCAAGATTTGACTTCTTACTTCTTCCCATTTCGAAATTTAGAGAAATATATGTTTGTCCAGTGTTCTATATTTTTCTTTTACAATGGAATTAGCATGGAAGATATTAGTTATATCCATGTCAATGCGATTTAGACTTAAAAAGAATTAGAATTCAATGGGATTAGCATGGAAGATATTAGAATTTAACTGAATATATACTTAAAAGGTAAATTTATAATTGCCAGGGTTTGACTTCTTGCTGTTTTCCTTTTCAAAATTTAGAGAATTTATGTTTGTTCGCTACGTTATATCTTTCCAATTAAGTGATGGTGCATATTAACTTTGTTTGTAATAAGAAATATGCAACACCTTTATAATGGAATTAGCATGAAAGATATTAGTTATATCCATGTCAATGCGATTTAGACTTTAAAAAAATTAGAATTTCAATAGGATTGGATTAGCATGGAAGATATTAGAATTCGACGGAATATATACTTAATAGGTAAATGCAAGTTGTTTGTTCTATTATAAAATTCGACGGAATATATACTTAATAGGTAAATGCAAGTTGTTTGTTCTATTATAAAAGGAGGAGCCGAACCATGAAATTTTAATCAAAACTTTTTTTTCCTTAAAAGTAGATTTCATTTTACCTTATATATTATCATGACAAACTAAATAAACAAAGGAGAAATTAAAAAAAAAAAAAGTAAGAGGAGGAAGTCCAGGGTTCTTCGATAATAACGGAAATGGTCCACATCTTTTTGCTAGCTTTTTACGTTACCTTTGTTTTTTTTTTTTTTTTNTTAAGGACAGTTAAATACTATATATTGTAGTCTTAAGATTAAGGGTTGGACCTGAAATCCTAAAACTATTTAAATACTGATCTCATTTAAACAATATCGCTTCAAAATCAATTTTAATTCTATATTTCTTTATAGAGTTAGTTATGCACGATCAATATTCAATACCATTAGGAATTTATACTTTTATTTTATAATTTAAACATAATATTTAAGTAGATTTTTACTCATTAAATAGGATACACTCGCAAAGCGCGTATCCTAAGACTAGTAGACTTTAATACTTTTAGCATTTGCATCTATACCCACTTTTTGTGTTACGTTTTAACTTGTGTCCGCTTTGCAAACAAAATTGCAAGCGTACCCGCTTTTTTGCATAACTTCAACATACAGGGCTGAAGTAGCAAAGGCAATCACGCAAAACGTCAGCATTCTAGTAGCCGGGCCTGAAGTTCAACTCTAGAGCTGAAGTTTTTGTTTTGTAACTGGTGAACTTCAGCTCTAGAGCTGAAGTTTTTGTTTTTGTAACTGGCCAGCTCTAGAGCTGAAGTTTTTGTTTTGTAACTAGCGAACTTCAGCTCTAGAGCTGAAGTTTTTGTTTTTGTAACTGGCCAGCTCTAGAGCTGAAGTTTTTGTTTTGTAACTGGCGAACTTCAGCTCTAGAGTTGAAGTTTTTATTTTGTAACTCACGAACTTTAGCTCTAGAGCTGAAATTTTTGTTTTTGTAACTGGCCAGCTCTAGAGCTGAAGTTTTTGTTTTGTAACTAGCGAACTTCAGCTCTAGAGCTGAAGTTTTTGTTTTGTAACTAGCGAACTTCAGCTCTAGAGCTGAAGTTTTTGTTTCTAACTGCCAAAGTTTTTAAAACCCTTGAGTATGTATTGCTGCACTCTCTACATCTACAGTGACGACAACGAGTAGAAGAAGAACCCCTACTGTTTTCAATCTTGTTCGTTTATACTACAGAAGAGCTGCAGCAGCCTCAATTGTCTGTTGACCTAATTAAAATGATGGAACAAAGGTTATCATCAATTGAGAACAGAAATGCTCATGTTCAGTGTTCAGGGATTTGGAGAGACAAACAATGAAAATATTTTGTCTTCTTTCAGCTGCTAGATCCTTTTGATAGATCAACGTAATCAAATTAAAGTAGTATATTTATTCAGATGTTTGTGCTTTTATCATTCTTTGTTTCCTACAACACTAGTGTCCTAGCTATGAGGGGGAAAAAAGAAAGAATAAGAAGAAAACACAGACGTTTCATTGTTACATTAATGTTAAGTTCCGGAGAGATATGGAGATCAATGGGAGAAGGAAGAGGAGAAAGGAGACTGAAGTTGTTTAAAAAATGGGTACAAGTTAAAAAAATTTTAAAAAAAATGGGTATATATTAAATGGGGGTGACCAAATAGGACGTCCCGTGCAATTTTTACCATTTATATTGTTCGTATAGATTTTTCACCATTTGGCCTTATACCAACACACCTACTCAAACTAATTCTTTTTGTTGCTAGATGATGACTCCAAATCATAATTAGGTAGTGACTTCAAATCAATCTCTTTATTCTTTTCTATTCCCAACTCAAGCAGTCAACAGCCAATTTGGTTCATTTAATAGATCTTGACTTGTAAATATAAAATAAAGAGACTGAACTAATTTTAGTACCACTATATAAGAAAGGCACGTTAAAATCAAGTATTATATGAAGTAAATGAAAATAGTTGAACTATAAAAGCTCTAATAAGTTTTGAATTATGTATAACACTTTTGAATTGTCAATATGTGGCGTTAAAACTCCCCTATATATTTATTTGAAAGCCAAAAAACAATATTTTGCAGGGTGCGACACAGGAGAAAGTTCTAGTACGAAAACATCACTTTTTAAGAAATCAAATAAAAATAAACATACTTATATCAAGTAATTGTTAGGTGTTTGCCATAATTTTCTTACCATATTTGATTTTCCTATTTGTTGAAGGAAAGGAAAATATAATTACCTTAATTGAGTTTTCCTTTTTGTAGAAGGAAATTATAATTCTCCTATATTTGGCTAGTCATTTTTCGTGTAGGAAAAAGGTTTGGAGTTCTATAAATTGAAGATTCGTCCTTCTCATTCAGTAGCATCCACAATGTAGCCATAGGGGCTTGAGAGTAGTGTTTAGGGGGAGAACTTTACGAGACAAGTATTAGTGTGTCACTTGTGTTTGCCTCTTTGTGAGGTTGTTCTCTCGATATTTTGTACTCTCTTTTTATATAGTGGATTGCTCATCTCCGCGGTGGACGTAAGCCAATTGACCGAACCACGTTAAATGTTTGTGTCTCTTTTGGTATATTTCTCCTTTGTTGTATGATTTATCGTCGCTCAAGGTTTGTTTTGCTAACTTCCGTATGACACCTGATTTTTACGGTCCTAATAGTAATATTATGTATTTCAATATATAAACAATTAAACTTATACAAGGATGAAAAAACAAAAAAAAATTAATTGTTTGAGAGATTAAAATGTATTCAAATATTAATAAAAGATAAAAACTTACTCCAAACATTATGTAAAACTATAGAAATTAAAGATAAAAATACTATTGCAATTTTTTGTTTTCAAAAAAATGTCAATAGTAAATTGAAAACTAAGGGCGTCAACCAGATGTTTTGAAAAATATTTGAATACACTAATAGTATACATTATCTTTTGGTTGTCTGTAATAATCAAGATACTAGAGAAAGATTATTTCATAAATGTAAAGAAATTTGCAGACAAATTTATGGATAAAGAAAGCTCCGGTTATCTACAATTCTGCACCGGTCAACGAACACACAAGTTTCTATTCTGATCGATCATACATGCCAAAGTGTATGAGCCAAGTTTTCATTGTGAGATTGTTTTCACAAACTAAGGGATCGTTTGGTACGAAGTATAAGAAGGTATAGTGCTGATATAAAAATTTAATACCACCTTAATACTTCGTTTGGTTAGCAAACCACGTATAAGTTATCCCAGGATTAAAATTAACACCGGGATAACTTATACCTTATCGAGGGTGGGGTAATTAGCACCGGTATACAATCTTCTTACAGATTATGCAATTGTCATATTTAATACAACATACCAAACAATGGATAAAAAACAATCCTAGCATAACTAATCCCAGCATAACTTATACCAGTATAACTTATCCCGACATAAACTGTATTCAAACCAAACGACCCCTAAATGAAGAACATCACTTGGGGTAGAGAATGTCGTAATGTCCTGGGCGATACAGCAAGGTAATAGATGGATTTGTGGTCTTGGAAACACCACTATTCCCCATGCCATCGCTTGTAGGAACAAAGTCGTGGTGATTTACATTGATGCTGTTGTTCTCACATGAGCTTCTATCAAGATATACGACACGGATTGGTACACCCAACGCATCTGATAGGGCTATAATCTGCACATGATCACTCTCTTCGCCCATGGGTTCCACTGATGACTTGCAAAACTGTGTTTTAATTTTCAAATAAAAAGAAAGCGAGTTAACACTTACTTGGATTCTAAAAGCAGCGGTGCTCGTAAAAGTCAGTGTATTTAGTGGACGAATTCTTATAAGCATACGTTCATTGGTACAAGAATAAGTTTGAAAATATCATGTCTTAAGAACGAACCTGCTCCACTGAGGCATTTGTTAGTCCTAGTATAAATGGTTCGAAAAACTCCGAGCGCTTCCTTATTTCACCAGATGTTACAAATCTGAAGAACATCACAACTAAACAGCACATATCGTCAGGTCACAGAGAAGAATACAACACTTGTTATCTCACATTCACAAAAGGTTGCCAATGGCCCTCACCATAGTCAGAAATGGACGGATCACGACTTCTGCGTAGGAGTTCTTCATGACTGCAATGAATAACCAATTTTGCTCCTTTAGTATCGATTCCAGTTGACCAGTGGAAGCATTAAGATAGTGCACAGCTAAATGGAAATTCTAAGTCGAGAGAATTTTAGAACTCAAACCTTATGGAATCTTTGCTACCTTGAAGAACATTATCGAGTTGCTCGAGGAATAACTATGATAGTCCAAAAAGACGACAGAGCCTCAGGGCGACGAATTTCATAATCAAACGAAAGAAAATGAACAAATGCAAGATCCCAATGTGGTAGGTGATGCATGAATGAAGGTGACTACTCAATCTATATGGAATACAACATATATGAGTAATGATAAGGTTAATAGTTGGCAAAAGTGTGCCACAATATAAGCTCTAACAACACTGAAAACATTTTTCCGACATACCATCAATATCAGATCTTCCCCTCTCAATTCACTTACCCGCAAATGCCTTTATGCAAACAAACACGTAATCTAGTCAAGAGAGCATGCAACTCCTGGACATGCAGTTTCCCTGGTTTTCGTTTTAAGATTAGATATTGACCACGGGCTAGGAATACAATCGTCCCTTCTATTATCATAATCAGTATTATCAAAGGCGAAAAGCGCAAAAAGATCTAAGGTCAATTGGGGCTTTAAGCGCAAAGCGCAAATAAAGCGTCGGCTTCAATGAAGAAAGGCGCAGATGAAGAAAAAGTATGTATGTGTAATCCAAGACTAATAATTATAAGCATGAATAACAAATATATGAAAAAAGAAATTGAAAAAAATTATGATAAATTGAAATATCAATTGTTTAGTGTCGCCTCTTCAAGATTATGCTCATTGGCAAGAAAAGGTATGCCTTAGAGCCTTGATGACAAGGCGAAGTACTCAACATTTATTGCACCTCGCTTAAGCGCGCCTCTGACAACAGTGATCATAATAACCAAGAGCCCTTACTGTATTGTTTATATCTTTATGGAAAATACATGCTAGTGATTGTTACTCAAATCACTGGCACTGCCTTAAATTTTGAAGCAAAAAGATTTAGACATGTGAAAAAGATAAATTAAAGGCGTGAAAGGTCAGGATAGGAATGGGTTTGAAGATCAACTAAAAGCCCTTGACCAAATTGTGATGCGAAGAACTGCAACAAGCAAGGGTTTCCTGGCATATGTATCAGCGGGATGGACTGATCAAGGTTCAGGGTCTCAAATAAAAAGATGTAGGAATACATTTCAAGAAAGATGAAGATAGGAAAACTAAGGAGGAGGAGATATTGGCACTGTAATAACATGATATGAACCAAAAGAAAGAGAAACGGTGTTCAAATTCACGAATCCAAGAGAATCAAATTTCGTTCTTCATGAAATGGAGTGAAACTGGGAGTTCAACCTAATCTACCCAAATGCGAACTAATATCGGTTAATGCCAACAAATCTCACACTTGTCAAAAAAAAGTTTAGCACACTGTTGAAAATGCAGTTGGGAGCAAAAACACAATCAGGAGGAGCTTGTGCTTTTGTAACATTTTCTGGTAATTCACGATGATAAGATCATATGGTTATTCGAACAACCTCCAGAATGTAAACAAGAAAGGATATGCCGATTTAATTATTATTATTATTATTATTATTATTATTATTATTATTATTATTATTATTATTATTATAGAACACTTTAACAGTTTCTCTTGAAAATTCATTGATTAGAGAATAGAGAGCAGCTTTTCTATTACACTATATGTCAAGTTTGGAACTGTGAACTATTCTTTGGACCAACAAGTTTCCATTTCATGTTCAATTGATCGTACATCATTTAAAAACTAGACAGATTAAATATATCCGGATACACTACAAAAGTAGATTGAAAAAATCTAATATTTAAAGCATCAAGACATGATAGTTTCACGCAAAATGCACCTAACATGCGAAAAGAAATACTTAAACATATCAAGGTAGAAAGACAAGAATACCGCAAAAAAGTCTTCAAATGTGAATTCTGCGTAGCCCAAACTTTGAAGTGTCTTTTTGCATTCCTCAATACTAGCTTTAATGCGATGAACTTCGCTTTGATCTTGTGATTCCAGAATGTGCTCCTTTAGTTGAAATACATGATCATTTAGTAACTAAAGATGCCAAAACTCAAAGTCCACGCAGAAGACCACATATGTTCTACAAAATAAAATGCAGTATAAGAATTTAAGCATACAAGGTAACCAAACATGAAACTGCGGAAAAAGCAATTTCCATCTCCACGTGTTCTTCTAAGGGCAGCATATTGTTCACTCAGCACCTGCAGAAGTGACATCAACTACTGAGCAACACAGTACAATCACCCCAAAGACAAAGATATAATGTTCAAACCTTTATTTTCTCCAGCAAAATTGAATTTCCCAGATGGTATTCAGCTTCTAATGAAGACAAAGGTTCCTGCAGTTATCACCCCCACAAAATACTCAAGTTAATCAATGTATTCAAGTAATTAGAGACACATATCAACAATTTGTGCATTTTTAATTCTTTAGAACATTTTCTTTAAGGATCTTAAACAATCCCAAGCGTTCTAGAAAGCACAACAAGTTTTAAAAGATATACACGCAAGTTACTTCTTTTAAAACAGAAGAAATGATAAACAAAGGAAGGAGAAATTGCAGAATGATACATCAGCAAGATGTAAAGATGAAAAATTTCCTGAAATTAGCTTAAAGAGTTTACATTGCATGAAGACATTTGCTGGCAGCACTATGCTCCCGACTATTTTATCTGGTATTCAGTTCAATTCTAGTGAGAACATTGTATTATTGTTCAAACTATCCATAAGTTGCTCATTTGCAATACCGAGGTGAATTTTCAGAAAATCAAGCAGAATGTATCCGTTCAGGAATATGTCGTACCCATCTTGATAAGCCATGACTTATTTTGTTTCCAGAAAGAATCAAGAAAAACAATATTCCACTTGAAAGAAACAAGTAGAGCAGAATCAGCTCAATATTATGTCAAAAACATATTTTCATTGATAAAGAATTTTCCTCAGACACATAATTAACTCACCTTCAGAAGAAGAAGAAATTCCTTAAAGCTTGTTAACAGAATACCTAGCATCCAGTCAAAAAAATACTAACTCGTTCCTACTGTCCTATGCATGAAAGTTCTATCAATATACAACACATAAAAACTGCAGGAATCAAGCAAACTTGATTATAGAACACTAATATGTTGAGCCGGGGAACTGAGATGCCGAGAGCTAGATGGTTTCGAATCCAATTAGTACCTTGACTATAAACAATGTAAATAATAAGAAAGAAATAAGTTAATGCTTCGAAAACAGGATAGCACTTGCCTTATCGCCAACAAATTGAGTTTTTACAGCTTGTTCAGCCTGGATGGAAGATTGCTGTTGCATAATATCATCATCCTTGTATTTTGTCCAATCTTCAATTTCAGATGTTTGAACAGATGTCAATGTTTCTTTTCCTGCATCAGCCACATGCCCTTCCTGATCCTGCATCTTTTACTTTGTTTGACGGTCAGATCCGATATCTTTCCTGCTCAAGGACACCGACGACATAGTTGAATTGCACAATAACATCAGACTCCTTTTGCATTTACGATACGTAGCACCCAATTGAAAAGGACATGTCAATCATGGTATCAACATGCATAAAGGCATTTCACAATTAAAATATCTCACTGCAGACCCCCAATTATATGCTAAAGGTATTAACAAAAGCTCAAATTCCTAGAGTAATTCAGGGAAGTGTGAACTGGAAATAATTGGAGATAACAGAAACAAGAAATAGAATAATGCCCTAAATTTCATAATTATCTTGAAAGAGACTAAATATGTGGCAAAATATTGTGAAGAGCTTCTAATGTATTAACACCACAATTGAAAGAACCTCTCCAGGCAGATAAGGATCTCATTTGAATCTCCAATGCATATCACAGAACTAGTACAATTCAAAGAGTGAAGAGCAACTGAATTTAGATGTAGTCATGTGGTTAAGTGTAGATTGAAAATCTGTAAAGAGATCTCCACATATTCAAGAAGAATCACTGCCTCAGCCATAACCTCTATAGTATAACATTATTCCTAGCAACATTTTAACGACTTGGCACAAAAATAATTCGTAGTTAGTCAATCGTATTCCGCATCACAAAGATAAGTCGTACGGTATAAGCAATTTCTTTATCTGGAAAAGACATCAAGAAAGGGAAATCCAAATTGATGGATTAAAAGCAAATATCGAAAAAAAATGAGTACCTAAAAGAACAAAACAAGTGAAGTAATCAGATCTCCCGGCAGCGAATAAGATCGATCTCTGACTTCTCAAGGGTACTCAGAGGATACGGCAGAAGGCAAGTTAACTTACCCTGGTTAGCATTGTATACTAGTACTAGTGTAGTGAGGAATCTAAAGACTAAATAAAAGAAAAAAGAAAATATAGCCCAACATACTACATTGCACATACTACATAGGTACATATGTAGCCATACTTTTAAGGGGTCGTTTGGTATATTAAAAATTAAAATATATTACATAATTTTTAAGAAAATTAGTTATTTACAAAAATGTCTTCTATATTCTTTAACTTTAAAGGACTTTAAAGTTGATTTTATCTTTAACTACGCTAATGGCATTAATAGTCTTGGTATTGCTAATACTATGGTTTGGTATGCATTAGTTAAACATAGGATAATACCAAACAGAGTATATAACTAATGCTTGTATTAGTTATACATAGGTTGAAAAAGTATATCAAACAAGATATTACTAATACACAAAGCTAATGCATGCATTATTTTCTGCAATGCACTCTACCAAACGACCTCTAAGTTTAATTTAGTATAACCCATTATTTTTCTTCAAAAATATTTACATCGAATATACAATATTAAATAATATTGTTAAATTATGTAATTGAGTTATAAAAAAAAATTAAAAGGCTAAATACATATGTGTCCACTTAAACTTGTCCATTTTTTCATTTACACACTTAAATTAAGGGTTGTTCATATCGAACACTTAACACCTCAACTAAATTTTTTTTAATTTTTTTCCTTGTTTGTTTATTGAAAACCTGTTCTAGTAAAAGCCCTCGTGTTTTCAAAATTATTGGTATTATTCTTGTGAGAATGCACTAGAGAAAAATCGATTTATTAACAATGATACGATGAGCTCTATATATAATAGATATTCTACTTCTATTACATACGGGACTAGGACATATTCTACTCTTACTACATACGGGACTAGGACTATTTACGCATAACTAGGGCTGTATTTTGTCCCGGGCCCGGGCCTTAGTGGGCCTAACGGGCCGGGCCTCGCGGTCCCGGGCTTCGTGGTCCCGGGCTCTGGCGGTCCCGGGCCTGGCGGTCCCGGTCTTCGTGGGCCTAATGGGTGGAACCGGCCCGTGACGGGCCTAAGCCCACATGGTCCTGTGCTTAACGGGCCGGGNTAACTATCTAACACTCCCCCTCAAGCCGGTGCATACAAATCATATGTACTGAACTTATTATATATGTAACTAATACGAGGACCAGTGAGAGACTTGGTGAAAATATCTGCAAGCTGTTCATTCGACATACAAGGCCGGAAAATCATTTTTCACGCCGAAAAAAAATAAAAGTTATCAGAATTTGATGTTATTTATATGGGTAGGCTCGGAATCACTGGACGAGTAAGTTTTCCTAAAGAAGTTTTCTCAAAAAGTGGCCGGAATGGCTCAAATGCACGGGAAAACTTACTATAGCTTGGCAAAACCCTAGTTCTAGCGGTGCATAGAGACGCGTGACTTTCTGCCAAAGCGATTGATTGGGGTTTTGTCGCTTGACTTTTCCGAACAAGATGGTAGTGATAGTTTTCGCACAACACTTGCCGATGAGGAGATAACGCAAATCAGTCTTGAGTCATCAACTGGAAAGACGCACGATGACTGACTTTTTTATTCAGATGGGACTAGAATTTCTAGGGTTTGGTCGCACAAGGGGTTCAAATATGATGGTAGTAGAGGTATATGCACAGTACCATTGTAGCAATGATCCTGGGAACAAGACGAAGCTGCCGAAAAATTACACGGCGATGAGATCTTTCTTCCCGGATGTCGCTGGAATGACGCATAACGATAATTTTCTCACTAAAGCTTTCATACCATCTGAGAATACATGGGAAATTTTTTTATTTATTAACAATGATACGATGAACCCTGTATATGATACGTATTCTACCCCTATTATATATGGGACTAGGACATATTTTACTTTTACTATATACGAGACTAGGACTATTTACACATAACTATCTAACAATTCCTTTCGAACCCGGTTGTATATAATTGCCCTTTTGTTTTGAAACAGTTCATGTATTCTACGTGATCCGTTTGAAGATTTTCCGAAGAGAATTTATTTTTATTTTTAATTTTCAAATCTGCCAAAGTTCAAAATCAACGAAAACTCATTAGCGAAAAACGTAAGTAGGAAAGTTGTTTGCTTATTAAATAATTAGTCTCAAAATATTAAGATTCAAAACATTGAAATAGTTGAAGCAGGTAAACCTTATGATCAAATTTACCTTTTACCTATAAGTCTTTGTTTGCCTGGTTTTCCAAAAACAATCAAGATGATTAGATGACAAAGGATATCCAATTAATAAGGTTAATTCTTCAAAGACATATACATAGGAACAGTAAATAATAACAGCAATTATTTTAAAATAAAGGGAAGGAACGCTGGACTCTAGAGGTGTTTATCGGGCGGGCTGCGACGGGCTGAACGGGAAAACCCCCAACCCGTTCAGTTAGCGGGCGGACTGTTAGCGGGCTGGGGATAACAGACTGTTATAGGGATGTGATTTTTCGGGTTTTGTGAACCCGTACGAGTTAGGTCTCACATGGGCTCGGGCGGGCCGGGCTCCAATTTTTTTCTTTTTTTTTTAATTTAAATTTTATTTTTCTTATTCAATGTCATTGATAGTTAAGTATTTGCAAACTTTTAAAGGTTAGAATTAAACTTTGAAGTTTAAAGTTTTAAATTTGAAATTTGTATTTTAAAATTATAAAATTGAAATTAGAAAGTAAGTGGCTACAAAATATTATTTAATAAGAGTATAAGACCAATAGGCAAATGTAAGGAACAAACTCTGAGGGCTTTCATTTATATTTTTAATACTTCAAATTAATTTGCAAGTTCTTTTTTTATTTTTTTATTTTTGAACTTGCAAATTAAAACTTAAAGTTTACAATAATTATAAAAAATAAGAAATAGTACATCACATGCTTTGCATCATTTTTGTAAGTTCTTCCATGTCAACATGAGGTTCTTGGTTTCCGGGATTGGCTGAATCGGAACCATAAACCATTATATCTCCAGTTTCTTGGTCCTCCTCTTCGTCTACCTCGTCACGCCCTTGATTTTGCCATTCTGATCTTATCCAATCTCTTAAGCACACTAGAATTTCCAAAGCGTTGCTGCTCAATGAATGACGGGTATCTCCTAGCTGCTGCCTTGCTTGGCTAAATGCGCTCTCTGATGCGATTGTTGAAATCGGCACATTCAGCACGTCTCGAGCCATGACCAAAAGAACAGGAAATTGATTTGAGTTGCTCCTCCACCAACTCAGTGGTAGAAAATCCTTTGTGAGGGGCTCTGGTGACTTTTGCAAGTAGAATTGTAGTTCATCAATATTCCTGCTACTGGTTTGTTGATGCTCTCCTAGTGTAGACCAAATCTGATAATCTTGAACACAATCATCATCATCCATAGTTGTTCCAGATGTTGAAGGATTAGTTGAAGGAATATTTGCATCTACAACCGAAGAAGCATCAACAATGTTAGCATAATAATTATATAAAGTTTGTAAATGTGTGTGTAGCTCAGAAATACAAGTGTCAATATCAGGAGTTTCAGTTGGGCCAATATCCATATAAGTATATAAAGCTCTAATTAATTGGCGACACTTTATCATTTTGACAGTAGGGTTTAAAATAGCACCAATTAGGTAAATATAGGGAATTGGGTAGAAATACTTTTTAAACTTATCTAGCATAGATTCAACAACAGTAGCATATCCTTCTTTCTGCTTCAAATTATGTAGTAAAAGAGAAATTTCAGCAATATGAACTAAACCATTTGAAATGGTAGGATAATAAGCTCCAGAAAACTCAAGTGTAGCCACAATTTTTTTTTTTGTAAAAATTGTATAACATCATGAATGACTTCCCAAGTTCTAGATGTTAACAAACGGTTAGGATCGGTACAATGAGAATTAGCAACTTCAGTTATAGGCATTCTATATTTATAACAACATCTTAAGAACAAATAAGTATAATTCGACCTAGTAACTATTTCTTTAGGCATGAGTCTTGGTTTTAGTCCATAGTATACACATTTTTCCTTAAATGCATTTAATCTAGCACCTCTATTATTTCCTTGAATTACACCAACAACTCTCCTAACTAAAATAATTTCATTTTTAAATAATTCAAGGCCACTCTTCACAATCAAGTTATAAATATGACATGCACATCTAACATGAAATATTTCAGGAATTGGTGGGTGTAGATGCAATTTTAATATTGTAATAGCAGCAGTGTTGTTAGAAGCATTATCAAATGACATACACAAAACTTTTTCTGCAAGATTATAAAATATAGCAACTTCATGTATAGTATTACTTATAAATGCACCAGTATGACTTTGATCTTCATCATATTTAAAAGCAATAATACGTTTTTGCATACAAAAATTATCATCTATCCAATGGCATGTAACAGTCAAATAATCATTTACATTCACAGCACGACCAATATCAGAAGTAAGAGAAACTTTACAGGGAAGACTTGCGAACAAGTAACGTATATATGTCTGATATTGTCCAAAAAGCCTAAAGATATCAGCTCTACAAGTACTTCTAGGAATACCTTTAAACATAGGGTTATAAATTCTTTTAATATAAGTAACAAGATACATTGAAGAAGCAAAACTAAAAGGTAAACAACCTAAAACAATCATTTTAGCTAATTCTTCCCGATCTTTCTTAATATTATATTTCCCCAATAACCCCCCAGTACTCGGGTTAAATTTTTGTTGCCCAGATTCCTCATCTACTCCCCAATCAAGAGGGTGTTTCTCTTCCATATACCTACGAAGTTGACCCGTTCCCTCTCCTTTACCGGGCTCATGTTTATAATGTTCACTACAAATTTTATATTTTACATAATTTTTTTGATCTTCTAGTCTTTCAAAAAATATCCAACACTTACTTTTTAATCTTCGATTCTTCTTAATAGGGAGAGGAGGCCTACTTGTTTCACCCCTAACATTTTGAGTTTGACTAGCATTACCAGGTGTAGGTGGTAGTGTTTCAAGATTATCGGGTGATTGAATATCATCTAACAAAGCATCTAAATCAT